TTCTCTCAGTGAACTGAGAGCTGTGAACATTGAAGTCCTGCGGAGGGAGAATTTGAAGGGCCCAGAAAACAGGAAAAGCAAGATGGTAGCTCACAGAATGAAGTTCTCCTGCTGCCTCAACAGAGGGCTCTCTGATGTGAAATTGGCAGAGATCAGCATCCAGGAGAGAAGTGAGACAGGAGAGGGCTTTCTTGACCTGCGTCATGAGCCACTAAATATGCACCCTATCTCCTTCTAGATCATCTCTTTTGCTCTGAGCTCTTTTGAGGAAGAACCTTTCTCATAGGCTTTCTTCACATTACCTAATATAGGTTAATATTCCAGAGCTGCCTCTATTTATTACCTGTGATGGTAGATTTGTTCTGTTGTGCAAGGGTGTACCTGGGAGGAAAAGGAGACAAAGCAGAAAGGAGATGGGAGAACGGGAAAAGATATTTGAAGGTAGTATGAAGCGTACATGTCAGAGTCTACTGCATGCCCTCTTTGCAACACTTCTTAAAGAATTGTGTTAATTACCAGCATGCATAGGCAGCTCCATAATATGTTGTAATATTCCTTATGTTCTAGAACCATGTGCAATATTTTTATGATAGATGGCATGTCTCATTGGAACTGGGAACTTATGAGTGATCCATCAGCTCTAGGAAGACCCCTTGGTTTTCTGACACCGTTCTGTATGGATATTTAGAATTAATCATCTTTAGTGTCACTAGCACAGAATGAATTATAGGACTGTAGGGTGCAAATAATTTATAATTCTTAATGTCTTCCTCTAAGTCAAGCTTAATTGACTGCACGGTTTTCATGACAGGAAGCTGGAGAAACGTGCTGCGTGGGATATGGAGGAGGCTAAGGTCATGGATCATTTTCGTGTCTGGCTTGCACCTTGCATGTGATAAGTGTCAGATAAATAATTATTGAATTAAAAGGCATAGTATTTTAAAGCTTCAATTGTCTTTAATATTTGCAGTTTCCACGGAACTTAGAATCCTGGTTCTAACCATTATTGCTTGCTTTGGGCAAATTGTTAAAAATTTCTAAGCTTTTCTTTTTTTATTGATGAAAACCCTTTATCTGTAAAATGACCATAATATTGTTTATGGCATATCTGTCTTATTTCACTTTTATATTTTTATGGTCATTTATTTAAATTGTGTGTTTTGCCCAAATATGGGCTACATTATAGGATTGTAGACAGGGATAAAAAAGATAGTAAATATAAACTTTCTATACAAGCTCTCCTGTGCCAGGCAGTTGTTCCATATTCTTGTTATTATGATTCCTATGATTGTTAAATTCAAAACCATAAAGAAAATTTTAGGACCCAGGATCCAAATAGATTTCAGTTGTTTGTTCAAGTTGTGATACGCCTGTGGGTGAAATATTGAAAATGAAGGAGAAAAAAGTGAAGCATTCTTTTATTATGCAATTTTACAGCTTTTAAAAGTAATTTTCTCAATGCCCACTGGGTGCCAGTTACTTCCTAGGTGACAGTTACTTTCTAGGTGCAGAAAGGTACAGTTTTATAGGGAGTAGACATAGACCTTCCTAGGGAACAAGAGTTTAATGGGGGAGTCGGAAAATTAGCATAAGAAATGTGATTATGGGGGAAAATATAGGGTTCTATGTAGGACAGGTGAAGAGCCCTGGGGTGTATATAGATGCCTTTGGGGATGCAGAGTCCTAAGGGACCAGGAAGAGGAGAAACTGAGAGCAGAAGTGTTCAAGGCTCTGAGAGAAGGTATGGATAGAGATTAAGGGTTAAGCCTGACCTTGGAGCAATGTCCAGGGTTGGGGCCTGCAAGGCCTTAGTGTGAGAACAGGGTGGTTAACAGGATCAAACCACTGTTTAAGAAATCCCATGGAAACCAGGCATGGTGGCACACATCCCAGTACTCTGGGAGACTGAAACAGGAAGATCACAAGTTCAGTTCCAGCCTGGGAAACTTACTGAGACCCTGTCAAAATAAAAAATGGAGGTAAGAGCTCACTGTGAAGGCTCTGAGTTCAGAATTAGAATTTCTCTAAAAACAAACAACATGCTTTAATATTATATTAGTCAGCTCTGCATTACTACAACAGGTCTATTGAATTTAATAATCTTAAAGGCCTGGTCTGAGATTTTGCAGCTCCTGTCAATTTGGCTTTCAGTGAGTGTGGCACATCAGAGTGGATGCAAGTGGATGAGCAACCATAACAGAGAAAGGAGAGGGTAGTCAAAGCCCCACTCTTCCCAGGGACCTGAGAACCTTCTTCCCCCAAAGCTACTACCACCTCTCAGTAGCATCACCTTGAGGACTTCAAGTTTTATCATGTAGACCTTTGGGGGACCCTCAAGTCACACCAACCTAGATGTTGGGGAGCAGTTGGACTGGGGCAGGAAGAACAGCTGGGAGGCCCATTAAGAAGCACTGTGATGTCCCAAACAGGGCTACCATGGCTTGGGGCGAAGAGGTAGCCCTGGAGAAAGAAAGCAGTGGACAAATGTGTGCAGTATTCATGGAGTCAAGTTGATAGGACTGGGGGATTGATGTGGATAGGGGACAGTGGTAGAGGAAGTGGTAGAGTCAGGACTTGTTGGCAACGAGTGTCAAGGGCTGATAAGACCCTCAGATACCTGTAGGGGGGAACGATGGGGAATAAAGAGAAACAGAGACAATTTTTAAGGTAGAAGGGGACTGGTAGGAGCCTGCCTCTAGTGGACAGGTTTAACAATCTTGGTGGTTGACTCACTTTTATTAGAAAGCAAGAAGTACCAGTGTAGGAATACTGTACTTTTTCATGCAAGGTCAATAAATACATAACTAGTAAGTAGGGAATAGGTCCTTTCCTATACTTAGATGCCTGCATTCTTTGAGCACTGAGTTTGAGTTTTCTAAGCACAGCTAGGGAGCCTGTGGTTTTCCATTAACTTCTATGTTCCTAAAGAAAGTTATCAGCCTTGGACCCTATGGGACCCAAGTCCATAGCCCAGGCCCCAACAGAGGAAGTAGTGGTGCGTGTCACCCACCAACACAGGCAGCAGAGAGAGGTGAATGGAGGCTAACTGATGGGCAGTAAGCTAAGTGTCAAACGGTAGGGCAGGTGTCTGGGGACCTTGACTTAACAAGGTCATATGTATGGGTGGCTTAGTGGGTCTGGAGCTGGGAAGAAAGATTTGAGATTTGGGTGCATCTTGGAGCCTTGGACAGCACCTACATGAGGATGGCCCTGCAGGGGATGAGTGAGTAACATCTCCCTGGAAGGCCATCCTGGGACACAGAGCCCTGAGTGGCATGGGAAAAATACATGCACAAAGCAAAATGTAATCTCTAAGAGAATAGGGCCTCAGCACCCAGGGAGAGCACCTCAAAGGTAGTGTGAGCCCTAGGAGGTTTGTGGAGGGAGAGTGCCTATGTTGTGCTCCTGGAGAAGTTCAAACCTGGCTGTGAACTGCTGTGGATCTGGATCCCTGGATTAGGAAAGCCAAGCCCTGAAGAGAGTCATCGAGGGTAGGCAGCCCTGCAGAAAAGGGTAACTGATGAGCACACAAAAGGAGCAGGGAGGGCTGAACAGAGAGGAGTTTTCTTTTCTTTTCTTTTTTTTTCCTTCAAAAAGCCAGCAGAGCCCAAGAGAGTGAGCAAAGAGCAGGAAGTAGCATCTGTGGAAGGGGATAGGGGTGCAGAGTCCAGGTGAGAGGGAGGAGGAAAGCAGGAGGTCTAGGGACTGGTGAGGTAGGGAAGTCAGAAACTGGGGAGTTCAGGGGGCCACTGAGACCATGAGATTCTAGCTAAATTGATAAACAGCCTTGTACCCAAGTGGGTCATGCCCACCTTTAGAACAGGTGCGCTTCCCTCTCAGGTAGATGAGGGGTTGAGTCTCGTGGCTTCATCTGTGTGCCTCTGTGGATGACCCTGATGGTTGGTCTGTTGGCTTGATTGTTTCTCAGAAGGTCTTGGGGCTACTCATATCCTTTTAATTCTAACTTCCCAAGAAGTCTGCTCTGTTTATTTTTATTCTGACCCATGGCTAATGTTGTATCTTCCAGGTAAATTGCTTCAGTTCAGCCCACAGCAGTAGCCCAGGATGTCTCTTAATCCTTTCCAAAAATCCAATTTGAACCAGTTAGTATCTCTGTGAGGGGTTCTGGGAGGGAAGGAAATTGAAGGACTGGGGTCAGAAGTGAGTGTGCCATTCTTCAGTGGTCAGTGCTCAGGTCACAGGTCCTCTGCATCCAAGAGCCTGACCTACCTGAAGTATCAGGAAATTAGATGTAAGGGCTTGGTGACACTGCTGACCTCTGACCCAAGCAAAGCACTACCATGACTCTGAGTGACCACAGCATGGTGCATATAGAAAAGCATTTTGATTAAAACACAGGCTGGCTCTGACATCATGGGATGCATCCTGTAAATGGCCTTTAAAATTCCTAGGAGTCAAAGTTTAGAAATGGATGCTTCAAAGTGAGATTGAAATTTAGCTCAGCATTTGGCGGAAGAAAAATAATTTATTGGCTCTCATGCAAAAATCCCTAGGAGGAAGCATCCTTCTCATTGTTGGGTATCTGTGATTGATGGGCACTTGGCGCTACGTCTGGGAAGTGAACTCTTGGAAATGGCATAGTAGGGACTTTGCAAGTGAGTCTCATTTGGCTAAGTTACTGCCTTTGTGAGGTGCTGCATCTTTATATTCTACTGAGAAGATGGTAAATCAGAGTAATTGCTTCATCCCAAGGCACTTTTATGTTGTAAAGGAAAAAGGTCCTGTTAAGAAACTCGAATTAACTTCTGCTGTTTATACTATATGGGAAGGCTCTTTGAAAGCTGCTTGTCATACAGCCTGGTGGTTTATTCATCATGGAACAATTGCATTAGAGCCTGACGCATGTTCTTATGGCACCAAGACTTGGGATCCCTCAGGAAAAGCATTTAACCCTTGAAAATACAAAGCTGTCATTTATCTGTCATCTTTCTCTGAAAACCTGCTGGAGTATATTTATGAGAGCTTTGAAGCAGTCTTCATTTCCATGGAGTTAGAAGTGAAGTTGGGATCCAGTAAATGATCAGTAAAAACTGGTAAGTGTCTGGAATGACATGTTTGCAGCCATGATGTGTTTACACTGTTATAAAATGCATTCATTATTGTATTCTGTCATTTTATAGGAATTCAGTGTACAGAATTCCACTATTAAGAATAGATAAAAATGGGGAATCAATTTACTTTTTAGTTCCCAAAATATGTTTGAAAAATTCAGGGGCTGGGTATTATTTAATTTCTAGTCCTGTCTCATTGGAAGTGGGCATTCTAGTCTTATTTTATCAGTTTTAGAAGAATTCTTAGTTACTGTATATCAACCACAGGGGCTTAGCAGAACCTAAAAGAATGAACTGAAATAGTCATGATCTGAGAATTAATACCCCTTTCCTTGGCATTTACTAGCAAAGGATGGGGGTGCCATTTGTCAGAGCTTGTCAAGGGCTGTTCTCCAGGGAGGCAGTCCCATAGAGTCTGGGAATTCTGTGTCTGGTGCCAGACTGCCTGGCTTCCAATTGAAAGGATGTCGCTTGCTGGCTGGAGGACTTGGACAAGTTAGTTAACCTTGGAGCTTCTTGTTTCTTCAGTCATAAATGGAGATAATGTATCTTGAGGTTTTCAGGGTTATTAAATGAAAGAGTCCACTGTGGAATAACTCTTGTTATTAGCAGAGTTTTATATGTGTCTAGGAAGATGGGAAAGATCACCCAAAGTTTTATTTGGGGTATTTGTGGGCTTAATGAACCTATGGGTGTTTGTTGTTTTGTGCTTCTTCCCTTTGGTGTCAGTTCCCCAGAAGATATGGTACACAAGAGATTATAGCATATGAAATGTTCAGTCTCATTCCATTTCTGGAAGAACAGGTTGGCAAGCCTAAGGCCAAGGCCTACAAGTGCTTCCAGAGTATATCTTCAAGATTGGATTAAAATTGAAATAACCTTTGTAGTCACAAACAGGTAAAAAGTTGGACTAAGCTTTTTGAGAGAATGCATGTAAGAATAACCCATAGGTCAGGGTGATGCAGTGAGCAGTGGTGCAGGCCATTAGGGCAAACAGGGTGAATATGCATAGGGCTAAAATTACTTGATGTGAAAAGAAGAATCCTGGGACCAGATATATGAGCAGGATTATAATTATGTTCTGCAGCAATAGGGGTTTGTTATATGCATTGTGGACTCTTCTGTAGTCTTTAACCACTGCCCCCACCATCAAAACCACCATTAGCATGGTCATCATGACCATCATCACCACCACCACCATTACTGCCATCAGTGATCGTCGTGACCACTGTCCCTATGATCACCACCGTCACCACCATCCCATCTGCAGTCTCAGCACCACAACAGCTCAAGGCCTGGAAGGGTTGCAGCTGGGAGATCCTTGCCTTTTGACCAATCCCTAACTTCAGCCTCACCTTCCTTTTGTCTGAATTGCTTCTATCACCCACTGATCTCTCCACTGCCTTTCTGATTTTCCATCCACCAACTCTGCCTCTAGAAGAAGGGGGTTTATAAGCACACTTCTACAGCCTTGCTTTTCTCTAAGAAAGAATTACTGATCTTTTATCATTTGCTTTATAAATAACAAGAGATGCGAATTAGCTTGACTCATTAAATTTAAAACAATTGTTATAGTTTTGGAGTGTTTGATTACATTTCTGTAATTATACACAGTTGCTGATGAGAGAGTAGAAGGGTTTCTGGGGAATAGTCTTCTCCCCTCCACCCTATGCCTTTCCTCCTTTCTCTTTGCCCTTTTTTTCTGTGCCATTCCATACCCAGGACCATGTTTATGTGCTATCCAAGACTTGAAGTGTCTGAAGAGGTGGTATTGTCTATAGCTGGCTCCTCAGGGCCAGCCTGGATGCAATCTGTACAGAAGGGGAGAATGTTTCCCTATGTTTTCCTTCGCATCTGCCCTTCATTCCTTTACTCCAAATCAAGTATGCTTTCAGGAAGGTTTCAGATGAACTTGTTTAGAGGGAAGTAGTGATGATGGGTTAGTAGTGGACAAATCTAGAACATGAGCATCAGTTGTAGAATTCCAGCTTGTTAAAGAAGTAAGGTGGTGTGGAAAGGGCAGAAGTCATCTCATTTGCAGACTGTCAAAGGCCACTTATTATAATCTGTGCACTTTGGACCTTTCAGTCCTTCTTCTCTTCCTTCTCCTCCACCTTCCCTTTTTCAGGACTCAGCTAAGGCTGATCTGTAGGAGGCCCTGATTCCCTGTGTTTTCTCCTAGCAGTGCCCTGAAAATGTGGTGCCCACCTTGTCTGCGGCCCACACACCACATCTCCCTTATCTTATTTCTTCTCCCTTCTAGACCATTAGTTTCTCAGCATTGAGACAGGTTAGTCACAGCCCTAATTATCTCTCCAGTATCTGACACACTGGGATGCAGGAGATGCTTTTGGACTAAATTGTATTGTATTTCTGCTGTTTGAAAAGAATACTGAAAAAAAAATGAAACAAAACTTTAGGGACGAGGATTTAGCTTAGTGGTTCCCCCACCTGCCTTGCAAGCGCAAGGACCCGAGTTTGATCCCTGGTACCAAAAAAAACAAAAACGAAAACAAAAAAAACAATGAAAAGAATACTGATTTTTAAGCATGGATAATATGATAACTTTGTCCAAAAGATAGAAGAGAGGTTGATCATTCTCATCTCCTTAAATTCGCTTGTTATTTAGGCCCTGCTGTGCTCTTGATAGGGTTTGAGTGTTTCTCCTGAAATTCATGTGCTGGAGGCCTGCTCCCCACAAAAGTTGTTGAGGTGCAGGAACCTTTAAAGAGTGGGGCGTAGTGGAAAGTGATTAGATCATTGGGGACACTGCCTTAGGAAGAGGTTAATGACATCTTCAGGGCTCTGGTTAGTGACTGAAAGTGAGCTGTTATAAGAACTGCAGTCTGGCCCCTGAAAACCTCTGGCTTCTGTCTTACTGTGTGCCCTCTGACCCTTTGGCATGCTCTTCCACCATGATACCTTCTGCCATGTGGCAGTGCCTCCTGGCCAGCTGGTCTGTGGGTCACCTGGGGTAGAGCTGTGTGGTGGCTGTGTTGGCTTCAGCACCTTTCTCCCAGCAGGGCAGCCTGGGGAGAAATTGGAACAGGCTGACAAATGGGCCAGATTTGATGAAAATAGGGTGCCGCCCATTCCAGCTGGCTTGCATTAGAATCTATAATTTCTCTATTTGTTCATCTGCCCTGTTCCACAGGTCTAGGTGACATGGATGTACTTTGTGAATACGCTATGGAAGGGGACTAAAATTTTCTTTCATTCCACGGGGACCGTGAATAGTTATTACAGATTATTCACAGTTCTCTTTGTGGTTCTCTCTGAATGGGAAATAGCTTCCTTTTGTTTCATTCACCCTGTTTTGCTTCTTTGGGACTTGTGTCCAGTGTTGATCGGTAGTAGGCTTGTAGACCCCAGGACATAGAAGTGTGGCCATCTCTTGAGTAGCTCATCTTCTCTGGGTACTGATGAATAAAGTACTTTGGACATCACCATTCCTTCTACACAATGTCCTCCCCCCACTTTTTTCTTTATTGGTACATTTTAGGTATATAATACAGTTACATTCATCGTTGGGATCTTGATCTTGTGCCTTTATATGATATAACTTGGTCCTTATTTTTTCCCCATTCCCTTCCCTCTTTCACCCCCTCCACCCTTCCCTATTTACAGATACTTTGTTTCCATGTTTTTCCTTTCTCTTATTTTTTTCTTTTCCATTTTTAGCTTTCCCCTACATGATGTCCTTTTCATGACAGTATTTTTATGATCAAACTCTTAAGTTCCTTGACTTTTAAATTAAAAAGTTCACCTAGTAATAATATTCACAATTCCTGCCTTTCTTAAAGGGACATTGTAAGGATAGTGAACTGATATGCAGATAAAATGTTTTGAGCTCCATAGAAGGGAGAAGCTGTTAGGCTCATAGGAATTATTATCATTATCATTATTATTATTTAGTTTCATACTGCTACTATATGATTACAACTGGATTAATTTTGGAAATGATAATTTTATGTTTAGATATCAATTTTTTCTCAGCCACTAAAATTGGCTTTGGCTAGAGCTCTCCAAGAAACCTCAATTTATAGATTAAAAACAAATCTCCAGTGTCACAAGGAAAAAAAAAGAGAGAAATGATCAGAATGTTTTCACTACATTTTTCATTTGCTATTTTTTTAAAAATCTAAAGATAAGCCTTTTTAAAAGAGTTGATTTAACGGGCTTCTTTTCTAGGCGTGTTCTTAATCTGCAGTAAATAATAAATCATCATAGCAGTTGGTTCCTCCACTTTTGTGCAAAATAAGTAATACATTTGGTGATATACATTTGGGGGTGGTCATTCTTGTAATTTTTATGGGAAAAACAAATAGTTTTACAGGTGACAGAGATTTTGTCATCCGCTGGTAACAAAGAAACGTATCTTGTAACACATGGTGCCTACTAAGTTCAGCGCATACACTGGCCTGCTGGGAATTGGAATTCTAAAACTTAAGTCCGTGTCCCCAGGGAAGCCGACATGGCTGTCAGCATGGCAGGATAAAGGTCTCTTTGCTCCCAAAGCAAGTGGTGCGGTCTTCGAAATGATTGGAGGGCAGAGGAACTAAGCTGGCCATGCTTTGATGGCAAGAGATGAAGAGAAAGGAACTCACTGGGCTTGTGGGCACCTGCACAAATTTCACTTGTAATTAGGGGAGTGATGGGCTCACCGTGAGCGGCTACTGTCTTTATGACTCAGAACATTTAGTGTTGGTGGGAAAGTGAGAGTCCAGATGCTCAGAGAGGGAGGGGAATGGGAAGTCCTGACTTTCCCTTACAATAAATGGCATTTGCTTTCAGCCAGTGACAGTTTAGCTCCCTGGGTCTGAAATGATACTCAGGGGCTGTGGCACTGGTGGAGGAGAAGGAATGGGTGGGCTTCCTCCAGGAAGGGCTGGAGTTCATTGGAGCTTACAGAGCTGCCTGTGAGGGATCGGGAGAGACACCAAAGAGCTGGCGTGGAAGCAGCCTGGCCTTGCTTTTGTGTTTCCTTACTGAAAAGTAAGGTGGGGATGATGAGGATCCGACTCACCTGACTGTGTTCGATGGCCAGAAGGTATGCTGCAAGCTTTGTAGCGGTGTTGTGCAAAGATGGCAATGTGATCCTGCCAGCAGATAATGTGGAAATGGTCCATTCCTGCTCAGTATTAGGAGTCACAGGCTCACAGCCTCTTGCAGTGAGCCACACCTTGGAGTGCTTTCTGGCAGTTCAGTTAGAGAAAAACAGCTTCCCTGTGTCTCCAGATTTTGCAAATTATGATGTAATCTTTCCTCCAGACCCTGGGAATGTATTGAGTCTGGGATCTGCTGAATTCATTCTGGCACTTATCCTGTTGCTTTTGCCTTAAACATCCAAGTTATGTTGCAAAATATATAGAGTTTGCAATTTGTTTTCTACACTCACCTCGTCTTCACCTTTTTCCGTCACACTTCCCATTTAGACTGTCTTTGGACACTGATGCCCTTGTGTCCTTTCCCTTTGGCCTTTGGGAAAAATGCAAAAAAAATGCTCACCCATTAAGACACAGAAGGAAGGCTGGTCAGGTTTCAAGTATTTTCTTTTCTTGTGGTGTTTATATTTCTTACAGGGGTGAAGACATCTTAAACCAGAGGAATGATTCTCTAGTTGTGGAGTTTCAGTCATCAGCCAGCAGATGCAGGAGGTATTATCTTGGGCATGGGACTGTCTCAAGCCCAGCATCATCCTGAATGACCACCTGTCTGCTCCATCTTCCCTCAGGCCACTTCATGAATCATATCTGTACCGTGTGTTTGGTTGGCATGACCTGGTGCACGTGGCCACCATGTTCGTGGAGGTCTCTGTGAAATTCCTCATCCTGGGTGGAGACAAAAGGAGAGTTCTGATATGAATAGTGGAATTTTATCATCATCACTATTATTCTTCTTATGCAAATGCTAATGTTGGACTAAAAATTACAAGTTCATAATAGAACCAGAATTCTCCTTTTGGTTAAAGCCTTCTCCATGCTCTCTGTGCCAGGAATCATGTGTCCGCAGAGCTGTCACCAAAGCCGGGCTTTCATCTGACAGATGTCCACCAGCAGGGCAGGACATTCATACCCTCTCCTTTCAACCTGAAACTTGGCTCTGGGAACGAGAGAATCATTTCCATTTCATCCCTCTGTTATGTCGGTCACTGTCACCACAGTCTCCCCAGAAAGTGACCATGATGTTAGAGCTGTGAGCCTCTGAGTCCATAAAAGATTCCTTAGGCTGCAGCTTCCCTATCTGAAGGGCACTAGTTGGACTCCCAAACCTAATAACTTTGGGTAATGTACTGGGATGAATTAAAATGCTAATAGTCTCCATGTTCTGGATATTTTAACATTCCCTAATTTTAAATTTAAATTAAATGCCTTAGGGGCTGTAGCAGCCTTGCCAGAAGCATGTTTTGCATCACTCAGTAGACAGAGAATTTAAAATATGTTCTGGCCACACAGGCAGAGCTAGGACAAGCAGTACTTATTTTACAGTTGTGTTATTTGTGTTCCCTACAGCTATATTAAACAAATACTTTCTTTTACTACAGATAGCTATTTAGCTTTAGAAATGTTTATTTTTCTAAGTTCTTTTGAATGCAGAGATCCTTTTGTTATTAACCCTACTTTAATAACGGTACATTGGATTCTGAAACACTAAAACCATTCCAAACCTCTTTTATAAATTGCCTTTGGGTCTACACCTTATGACAATACTGTAAGACATCCCTGCATTTTAACAGTGACACTGGGGTTTGGAGAGATTGAGCAGCTTTCTGTTGTGTCTTTGGTGAGGGGGCAGCTCCAATTAGCAGTAGGTAATGTGGCCTCCACCTCAGACATCGGTGCACTGGACCAAGTAGAAGCACTGAACAAAGTGATGGCAAGGTCATTGCCATTGAATGTTTCTGCTGGGCAGTGAGATCAGTGCTTGATTTGAGAGTGGTGTTAGGTGTTGGGCAAATACTGCGGTATTTCTGTCGTTACAGTGAACACAATTGGCCCAAGAAAGCAAGTGTGTTTCCTTCCACCAAAGAACAGGTTACTTGCTATCACCAGTTACATTAGCCCCATTATTTTCTTCTTAGGGGAAGAACACTTTATTTCTCCCTCAGTTCTAACAGTTGTCTAGCCACTTGCTAATTGTATTTTGTGAGAATAGATAATAATTTTCTTCAACCGAAAGGCTGTGTTTCTTGATGACGCAACATAAGTCATCTTCTGTTCTTTCCCTTCATTGGCTGCACCCCTTCCTCCTGGCACATTTTTCATAGTTCGGAGGAGTGACAGGTGTCAAATAGGTCAGAATGAAGAATGGATTCAGTAGTTGTTTGATGACTGAATAGTAGATATCAGAAGGCGGCTCATAACTGTGGAAACTGCAGCATGGAGTTGTAACAGCTCTTTGGGGAGCTAGTTAATGAAAGAATCACTACAGAAATACAACCGTGCAAAAAAAAAAAAAATCCCATACAGGATCATTCCTATATAACACTCAGAGGCTGTGTCACCAGAGGAAGTATGCTCATAATTCCTATTTACACATTGCTGTAATTACCATCTGCCTTCCAATTTCTCTCAGTCTTCTGTCAAAGTTGTTTAGATGGTTTCTCTTTCACATATCATGTGAAGTCTAGCACCGGTGGAAATTTATCCTAAAGACTTCTCTCCCACCCCTCCAATAAATGTCACTATCAGATTCCCAGACTCCTAGGGCCTGATTAGACTGGCTTTATCGGATCTATGTTCTTGAGGTCATTGCTATTTGTCTGTCACCTGGAAGTCTACACTCAGGTGAATGGTGCACTGGGATTTACCCTTTAATGTTTTGGGTTGTTCTCTTTTCTTTCTCCTAATACAGTGTGTATGAGCCAGATAGGAATGCATTACGGAGGAAAGAACGAGAGAGAAGAAACCAGGAAACTCAACAGGACGGTGGCGCATTCAGTTCCAACTACTCCCTCTTCAGTGAGCCCTACAAGGTAGATAGTTTTGATTATTTGCCTTCACTCTACCCTGACCCTCTCACCCAGTTATGATGGTGGTCCTGACTGAAGGGGCTGACCAGTCAAACATCTGGTAGCCTCTGGCTCTTGAGCCACTCCACCCACTGATGTCTCAGTGTCTAGCTCGTGTGTCTTTACTGGCTTCGCTTCAGGAAAATGTAACTTCTATTTAATATTGAGCTCCACTTGCTATGACTTTTATCTATTACACAGACTTCATCACTGCACTGATATTTCAAAGTCAATGCCATTTACTGTTTTCTCATCTTTTAGGAAACAGGGTTCAAAAGAAGTTGAGTCACATGTTTGACACGTATGGGTCATGTGAAGTCAGGGTCCTTAATAGGGCTAATGAAAATGAAATTATAAAATCATTTTTCATTTTTACCAAAGGCCAGACATGTAACCTTTTTCCCCAGATGGAATATCTTCTCTGATTTCACAGGTATCTTAAGCTGCATGGGGCTGTGTATAGTTCAGACTGGAAAACGCTCTCATATTCAGCCCCATGTTCTAAGTTTCACCCTTATTTCTCTTCCTTGTCATTCTGGGTTTCTGACAATAATTACCTATTTGGAAATTGGAAGCAGACTGACTCTGAACCAACTCTGAATTTTTACAAAAAGCCTCCAGTGGAACTACAAAAAGGAAAAAAAATCCAATCCTGGAAAGACCTAATCTAGACCATTTTGTGGATTTGAAGTAGTCAATTTTTGATTTCTAAGTAGTATACTTTTACTGCATTATGATATCAAGGGTAGACTTCTTTTTACATACCCTAAGACCATTCACCACAGGCTTCCAGCTCTGAAGTGATGCAGAGTACTGACAGGTATCTCCAGAGGCCATAAGGATTTTGATTTCACCTTTCAGCTCTTGTTCTGAGTGTGACTAGTCTGGCTGTATGATCCATGAGGGCACCTGTTCATTGTTCCCTGTTTCTGTTGTCTCTAACCGTAGCGTGGATGTGTTTTTCTTTCTCCAGACTAACAAGGGGGATGAGCTGTCCAACCGGATCCAGAATACTTTAGGCAATTATGATGAAATGAAAGACTTTTTAACTGATAGATCCAATCAGAGTCATCTTGTTGGCGTCCCCAAACCAGGGATTCCTCAGACTCCTGTGAACAAGATCGATGAACATTTTGTTGCAGATTCAAGAGCCCAGCCCCAGCCCCCATCTGTCTGTAGCACTGCATCCTCCACACCAGCAGCTGGCCCTGGACAGCAGAATAAGAGAGGCGCTGTGGGCTGGCAGAAGGCTGGGCACCCACCATCTGATGGCCAGCAGAGAACAGGTAAGCAGGAGTGTAAGCAGGGCACTTGCTTTGCATAATCTGCTAACCCAAAGAACCAGAGTAAAAACCTAAGCCCTTAAATGTTGAGTCACTCATTCTCTTCTCCTTCTTCTAATTCAGCACAACAGGGCTCTCTCAGGACCTTGCTTGGAGATGGTGTTGGCAGACAGCAGCCACGGACCAAACAAGTTTGCACTATGGAGGTGGGGCTTCCAACCCAGGAAAGGCCACCTGCAATGGCAGCCAAGCACAGCAGTGCTGGACACTGCGTTCAAAACTTTCCTCCATCCCTGGCTTCAAAACCCAGCCTGGTTCAGCAGAAACCAACTGCATATGTGAGACCAATGGATGGCCAGGATCAAGCTCCTGATGAGTCTCCCAAGCTGAAATCATCCACGGAAGCTGGTGTGCACTGTGCATCCTACAGGGGAGTCCCAGCCAGCAAGCCAGAGTCAGCCAGGGCCAAGGCCAAGCTTTCCAAGTTCAGCATCCCTAAGCAAGGAGAGGTGAGTCTTTTCTCACTACCACTTCCATGCAACTGAAGAAGTTGTGTGGCTAGATGGTGGTTGAGAATCCAACATCCATGTGTCTTCTCTTCCTCTTCAATGATGTGGGTGAGTTCATATGGTAGGATTTGTAGCAATCCCTACCAAGATAGACAGACATAAATCATGACTTCTTACCGTCTCATATTTATTATACTTGGAGTTCTAAAGTACCAACAAGTGAAGTGTGCGGGGGCAGGGGGCCTCCATATAAGGGAAGAAATGCTTCTTTCACTATAATTTAAGAAATTTTTTGTAAGCAAGATAGTGTTGACTGAGATATTATATATTAGAAATAGAAGCATTTCTAAGTCTACAATTTCAACATCTGGTAGGTAAAAAATTTAAAAGTTCAGAAACTCAAAATTGTAACTTTTTTCTTACCAGCTTTGTCCTAGGAAAAATTCATACAGGAAACTCATAATAATGTTTAAAATACTTGTTTAAATGATTCAAGGTGGAATATGGTGAACACTCAGGGTTCCAGTGACACATCTCTGGTTGTAGTATTTAAGATTCAGAATCATTCTTGTTGATAAGAGTTGTTATTGAACCTGCCTTGTCATATAAAGATGTTCTTCAATTGCTTGGGTGGATGAAGTATTGTGTGGGTGAAGTATTTTGAGTCCATATTTTTCTGGTTTGCATTTCTGTTTTATTTAAGGTATTTGTTTTTTGCATTTCAAAAAGCTGTGTGTGTGTGTGTGTGTGTGTGTGTGTGTGTGTGTGTGTTAAGTATTGGAATTCTGAATGAGCAGTCACATAGTGACAGTTGTCAGGAAAGGCAGTCACTAGTCACTTGATCAGTAAATTTGGGCAGAAAATGAAGTTTTATTTTAAAGAAGTACATGTCATACTGTATTCCAAACTGATTGTTTTTAAGAGCACACAAAGAAGAAACATGACAAGGCACGTTTATTGTTGCATATCAACTGGAATAGTCTTGAGTCCTCCAGAGGTGTACATAAGAACTATTAAATTGGTTTTCTTTTTGACATCCTCTTTTTTTTTCCTTTGGGGGTTCTGGGGATTGAAACTAGGACCTTCACACTGAGCTATATCTGCCCACCACTTTTTAATTTTGAGATATGGTCTTGCTTAGTCACTAAATTGCCCAGGCTGGCAACTTGCAATCTTCTTGCCTCAGTCTCCCAGAGTGCTAGGATTACAGGCTTGTGCTACCATGTCTGGCTAATATATTATTTTTAAAGATAGAGTAACGGTGTGACCAAAATAATCTTGGCATCTTAATTTGATTTAATAACCAAATGGAACCAATGATTTGACATTTCTTGTTGCATCTCCAGCAAGTCTGAGCTTATGCATTTCTGAGCTATCACCTCAGAAGTCCCTGTGGGCCATCTGTGAGATGAACATATCACCTTTTGAGGAGGAGATGTCCTTGGTACCCTCTCAGATGATTACACAGGTTTTAATGAGTCAGTGACATAGACACCAGTAACTTCTTTTGATTACACATTTACGATGGGCTCTAGAAAGTGCTCATTAGGAATTAATGGAGGCAAAATGTAATTTCTACAAGCATTTATGTTTTAAAAGTCCATAGAAAACACACATTGAGACCATCTTGTCAAACAGTACTCCTCAGGCTCATGGTTTTTGTCATCATTGCCAAATGACCTCTACTGTGGTGACTAACTTAAACCACAGGAATCCCTTTATGACTCAGATCCCTATTGACTCCTTGCTAAAATGATTTTTAGCAAGCAGCTTCAATGTTATTAGGTAATAAATTGTTCATTCATTTTGAAACCCAGTATGTTCATACAAGTCTGGTTAAAAGGAAAAGATGTGTTTGTTGTTGTTTGTTTGTTTGTTTGTTACCCGGGATCAAACTCAGGACCTTGTGCTTGTGAGGCAGGTGGTGGAACCACTGAGCTAAATCTCCAGCCCTAAAAATGCATATTTTTGATAGCTAGTACAGTCTTTTGCAGATACCTGTTTAGCTTTCAGGAGGTTTTTGAGTGTGTCATTAGCAACTTGCATGTTGTGAGGATGCCCTGTGAGAACCACACTTCGGGAATGACATACCTTACTACTGTTTGCTCTTTGCTGAGAGGGGACACACCTGACATAGACATATAGAAAAATCAAAGCTTTATATGGCAGGCAATTGAACCTGCTAGCTTGTAACCCTTCTTGCTTTGTGCCCTGAATGCATCGGAGGCTGATGTCATTGACTGAAAAGAGACACGTGAGGTATTGTTTGTAGAGTAAAGCTTTAATTGGTAGAGTATCTTCTTGGGGGAGGGATGCAGTCCTTACTGTAATAAAACACTTTGCTCACTTAGAAAAGGATTATACATTGAATCTTGAAGTACTTGTTAATAATGTCTACTGTCACAGGAAAAAAAAGGACTCTTTCTTTTATATTATAGTAGCAAAATAGTATCTGTAAGTCACTTTTCCTACCCTTGGACTGTAAGAATTTTTTTTTTTTTCTGACAGTATTCCAAGAGATAATTTAAAAATACCATTTTGAAGGTACATTTTCTAAACCATTTCTGTAGGATCCACAACCATAGCATAAAAGCTAAAGAATTTATCAATGAGATTTACTTTGGAGGAAATGTATTCGTTTACTTTTGGGAAGGGGTGAAATTATTTAATGTAGCAACTTCAAAAGTAGTCATACCTGTATATATATTTTTAATATGGATACCACCATTATGAAATTTCAACTCAGTAGTACTGACATTAATTTCCAGTGAGGTAGAGAAGGTGTTTTTAAGGGAGATTTACAGAAAAAAATGACCTGAAGGGAACTTGCATTACTTGACTAGAGTTATTCAGAGCGTTAGCTGTAGAATGAGATTATTACAATATGAAATATTTAGAGGCTGAAAGTAAGCATTAGCTAAAAATGATGTAAAACAAGTAGGGCTGCAAAAAATAGCATTTCACGTTGTGAAGGTACATTTCTCACAAGAAAACCAAATCAATGACTAGGTGTTGTGTAATGTGGGAAATTCAAAATAAATCTAGGATGTGATCTCTGTCTTCGGGCTATCTATCTACATGAATGGAATAAATTAGACTCATAGCTTTTAATTTGCAGTATCTTTCACTTACAATCCAAACTAAATTTAAAATTGGCCTTCTAGCCCTAGGAAATTTTCCTCACCTTCATCATCCTTGTAGTGGAAAAATTCTATGTTAAGTTTTTTAAAATGGAGAATTTGTGAATGTCTTTTGCCTGATTTTACACTTCATAAACTCCCGGTTCTTTCCCTTACAACATCTGCACTCTATCTGCTGCCACGGCAAATTATTTGTTATAATTCTTTAGTCCTCAATAATAGGTAATTAGTGTAGAAAAATCCAGTGCAATTTGATGTGGAAGTTAAAGGCCTCAAGAGAATTCTTTAACTGATACACCTGCCTCTTGGCTGGTTTTTCCCAGCTCGGTTTTGTATATAATGAAACACATATTTTTGTTGTTATAGCCGAGTCTCTTATTCTCAGCGCCACCCCTCATTAGGAGTGCCTCCTCAGGAGTCCCACTTGGAAGGTGTTTACAGTTAAGGTAGAGACAATGGGCTTAATGAACGGCTGAAGCATGCATTCTAGAACATTCTAGGACAGAGCAAGGAAAATTATTACATTTTCAATTGAAGTGAAGCATTTCCTTCCTCCGTAACACTTACTTTTCCCTTAGCATACAATTCCAGATCTAGACAGGCTCTGCATTTGCTCTGATTGGCAGGCTATATATAGTTCCCTCAGTGGTACTCCAAACCATATACATGTTAACTTGTTTGCTGTCAATTTAATAAATAGGGATGATTTGAATCTGCTATTACCGAGGGCTCTGATAGCTGAGAATGAAGTACACAGAAGCCAGGAGGCACAGGAAGCCCCATCCCCTGTGGCTTAATTGGTCAGAAAAGAAAGCCCTAAATTTCAGTGTCAAAAGATTGTGTGGTAGGAGTTTTTAGTAGTGGTTACTAATTCATCTATGAGAACAGAGTGACCATTTTTGTTGATCAAAACTTTATTTGTTAAAATGCATAATGAAATGGTTTAAGTTGTATTGATTAATCATAGCCTTTTCATGATGGGCATTTTAAAAAATACTGCTTATGCCTCTAATGAAAGTAGAAAGATGAAGGACCGTGATTCTACAAAATAGCTTCCTAGAAAAGCAATTAGCTAATTTTTTTTCAGTTCACATAAGATAAATGGTGTAGGTTTCCTATTTCCTGTCACTCTTGGTTACCTTTGTATGAAAATGGATTTCTTCCAAATTAAAGTCGGCACCAGCCTGTCGGGCAGAAAAGGCATCTGCAAGCAGTGTGTACATTACATATTCATACCAGTTGAAATTTCTTAATTACATTTGAGTTGTATAATGTTTTCAGATTGAAGTCTGCTGTCAGATTGCTCCTGGATGAAATGAGGGTGTGTGTCAAGACTGGAGACTCAGTTTCCATGTCTGTCGTGGCAAAATCCTTCCCATCACCCATGGCAGGTGGAGGCCATGACCTACGGGACGGTGTAGCTTTACCACAGCTCTGCTTTCTGCTGCCTGCACCACACTTAGAGGTCATCCTCTTAGTCAGAACGCTTGTCCTGCTGCTGTGCAGAAGAATGAAGACTCAGACACTCTGGGTGAACGTGTTCACTTTCTAGATTTTTACTAGGTCATTCTGAAGGTCACAGTGGAGACTGGCACTTAGAAATATTTCCATATTTTTTAGCCCCTTTATGTTCAGCCAGTGGGGCCCTAGAGGGTAAGGCACTTCAGAACATCAGATGACTTTGGTTTCAGTGGCCCTGATTGGAAAGCCTGGAGACTGTGTATTAAAGTGCATCCCAGGTCCAAAGGCATGAGTGTCTCTTCCCATTCTCTTTCTTCCTGGGGTTCCATTGGATTTTTGCCATAAAGCTGAGTTTTTTACTGGAGGTAGGAATCCATTTCTGATGGTGGAGGTGCTGAG